GAGCTGTGGCTCAAGGCACCGTCCTCCAAAAACCAAGAGACACGGTAAACTGAGTCGCACGTCCTAAGGTAAACAATTCAGATGGCATCACTCAGCCAGCCTGCGAAATTAGCCATCACACCTCATCCCTTCAGCGCGAGGTTGTTCAGGACATAGACTCTCGTCAGCATAAGATAGAAAGAAAGATAAGGAACCTACCTCTCAGCGGTTGGCGCAACCTCACATCCAATTCACACGTCCCCCAATCCACTACTGACATCACGGATATCATACGCATAGTACGTCAACTTTATGACTGAAAGCTGTTTCCGGGCGCAAATTACCAACAACGAAGTCGTGATGAAGTGGATGCCCCTTATTCCCAAATATGGCAAACGGAAACGGACTACTTATAAGTTGTCAGTGCAATCATTCCACCGTGTGAATTTACAACTGCTACTCAGTAGGTACCGGTTTTGGTTGCGGCCGCTTTATGGCAGTGCCGTCCGTTCATCTGATAAGTCACTTGATTCTGTGACGAACAATCCTGACAAGCGACCAGTTTACTTGGTACCCGGCAAATAGCCAGGTAAGGGCGCAACCAGTTATCCCGTAGCACCATAGCTTTAATTTGAGTTCGAAATGAGGGGTGATATGGAAGGCTATCGAAATGCTTACAATCCTTCGTGCAGCCGCGGCGCGCGCTGATACTCCCACGATTCTAGTACGCACGAATCACCAGTGCCGTTTGAAAGTGTTACCACTAATGTGCGCCACAAATACGAGTGACTATTCATGCATTGTTCTGGACTGCGTTTCATCAATGAAATGCGCACGTGGAATGTTCGCCCAGTTAAATAATGCGAGAACGGGCTAACCACTTGTAGAAAAGATTTCAAGTTGAAAGAGACGGAACGAACGTTGAACTATAATGATACGGTAATTTTTCCTATGAGTACAATTTTCCGTTGAACGCAAATAGCTTAACTAGGTTTAACACCGGCAAGAACAAGAGGGGTACTTCTTGCAAATTACCAACTCTTCGCAGATAATTAAGGCAGTACGTTGATTCATAATCTCAAATACAAGAAGCAACAGCAGCTTTCAACGTATCATATCTTTTCTTCTTCACCTCAAAGGGACCTGCATGCGCATTGGCTAGTGTTAGTCTGTTGCACGCCGATTCCCTCTGTAGTCCATCAAACAAATGCCATAACGCTTGGTTGACTGCAGTGGAATAAGAAATTCAAATCACTGTGAATTTTTCCGCAGCAACTGGTCGTTTCCGGCGACTTATCAAGAGCGGCATCGTGTTGGTTCGACATTTGCAGTGGGTACTGCGGTTCTCGGCCAGCAGCCCCTTCACTGTAAGTAGAGAAGAAATAATTGAGCACCGCACTATATGATACTTGATTTGGAAATGTGCCAGCAAGCTCACCAAAACTCCTCTCACTTCAGCGGCTGGAATTAAGGAAAGTGCAGCCAGCGACTTCAGCTGTAGTTAGATCTTGACATCCATTTCAAGAGCACTCTTTAGACCGACTTTGCAGGCTTTTCTGATGATACTTTGGCGCAGGTGCAACTAGCATCCTTTAATTACTGTGCCCGGAAACGGGAATCTTTCGGCGTCAATAGAAGTCTTCTCAAGATCAATTAACACCTCTGTTGGCGTATGTCCAGTAACAGTAGTTTTATTATTGCAAACGTTCTTGTGTAGGTTGCAACAGGATGTAAAGGTAAGCGGGACAATTCTTGCCCACATTGGCGTGCCTCGTATATGGCAGATAAAACGTGTTGGGAACGCTATCAAAAGTGTCGTCTCCGTCTCTGGTATCTGTTCACAAATTTCCTTATCAGCTAACATAAGAATCCTTGCTGGATCATCCATACCTGCATCATGCAGAATTAGTTCGGAGTACTGCTCAGGGATAGCGAAATTTGTACCTGTTGGACAAGGCAAATGACCGCTTTTTAGGTGACTCAGAAGAGTTCTTGTAATGCATGATTGTTTGGGAAAGTGGACCAAAGCATCACTACTGGGTGCAGACAACACATTTCCTATAACGTTGCGAGGTGTATCACTGACTGCCCTCATGTCCAGTTGTATTTGGCTTCGTGCACCATTTGCTTCCGCTTTTGAGGACATGAGTCACGACAGTGCGCAGTCCGCTGTTACAAGATTATGCTGTCTTGGGTCTTTCTCAGTGGGTGACAGTTTACACCTCGGTTTTGCTTGCCTCTTCCAGTTAGCACTCTTTCGATAATGTGGAGCGAGAGGTATTCAAACCCCAAGTATGTCAAAACTAGGTAGCCCTTCTGACTTCTGGAATATTCCATGGTTAGCAGTGCAACAAGAAACGGAGACGTGTGTTGCGGTCCACTTAGCTAATCGCGTGCTCGCGTCAACCGTTTACATAGAACTAGTAGATTACGTCGGTAACATAGCAGCGTCACAGGCCAAACACCAGCGCTCAAAGATCATTTGGTGCCGTCCAGCCCCGTGCTCTGCGGCCGCGGTCACCAACGTCTTCGTGGCTAGGCGACACTAGCGAGGAACTCCATCTGCTTACATGGAGTGGGTGTCATACGCAATTTCGTTGCGGATTCGACAAACTTAAGTTTGTGAGCAATGCCCAGTCTTTGCGTGTGGTTTATGAATCACAGTCCACTGCGGATGTACGACCTTTGCGCCTGTGCTAGGCTCAATGAGTGGTCCCATCTAGCATGCGATGTGTTGCAAGCGGCTGATTCGCAACTTCGACAGGAACGCTGTGCATGTTAAACAAGTGTACGCCGACTCTATTGATGAATCTTGACTACCATTCACTTGCCTCCCGGTCTTATTCCTATGGGTTCCCACTGCATGTGGTATGTGTGGATGGAGCTATGAGTGGTGCAGCGCAAGCCAATTATAGTTCATATCTCATTAAGCGCAAACATCCTGTGGTTGTCCACATGCGGGACACAGTAACAGGCCGGATCGAAAACGGACGCTGTCAGTCATGATTCACGCGCGTTTAAGTATGCATGCGTGGTCATAGTTGTCCATTCCTGCGGTTGTAGTGTTATTGCGAGGTATCCAATTTTGTGGAATCCTATTAAAACTCTAACGCCGCCAATATGAGTCAACGTTTGTCCGTATTCTTAAAGCCATTCGTAACATGTTTATGTGAACGTGTAATGTGAGTTACACCGTGATGATTGGATTTGTCAAACTGCTGAACAAGCATCTGTGAAGAGAAAAAACACAGCTTCAACTTAAGATTGAACCATGCGTAGGAGATTTGTCCAACACCCCCCCCCCCCGGATGCAACGTTGTATGAGCGGCCTTGGTGTGACGTCTTATTGTCTCGTAGTCACCAACTGAAACATGTCCAGTAGATCGTTTTATGCGACGTGAATTCCTAATGTGAATATTAAGCAAAGTACATAAATATTACGGTCATATGTGACCATGTTAACAGCTTGCGAAAATGTGTTCACTTTTAGTGTCCGCAATCTTCCGTCTTCGCATTCTTCTGTGTCCGCAATCCCCGTTTCAGCTTTTATGTCTGTGTGCCTTTTGCTGCCCGCAATTTTTGTGTGCGGTTCCTTCGTGCGCATTTTCTTCTGTTCCCCCACCTTGACATGTGGTTCCAATGCAGTTGTCCAGTGATCTACCCGACTACCGGGATTTACTCCAAAGCGCATCGCCGTCCACTCCGAAACTAAGTGTTACAATCTGATTCGTATAATAAGTAATCTCTAGATTTATTCAACAAGGTTTGTGTTCCCGTTCAGCCCTGGACCGAGCTGTTTTTCAAAAAAGCATTTCTACACGGGCTGTGTTTTTTCGTGCTGGCACTGTTGACTGGAAATTTATAAACTGCCATTCGCCAGAGCTCACTCAGTGTTTAAGTCGTATTATCCGCAAACCATCTTCTCGGCATCGTTCACAAATTATCCCACAATCATGCTTGCAAACACATGCTACGATACCGAGATCATCGCACTAGAGCCGAGATTAATCAATAGCTGTGTGTTATTGCCCATCCGGTTCAATCATCAGAACTTGCGAATATGGGACGCAGATTATTCTTTCCTCTTGATGCTCACCCTGACTGCTGGCTACTAATACGGCGCTCGACAATTGCCTACTCACCGCCGCATCCATGTACATAAGGGCTGGGGGAGTGGGGAAGAATTCGCGCCAGTGCTTGCTCACGAAGCTGTGGCATGTTTCGTGTGGAATTCACTACAGTGGCCACCATAGTGTTCGCTGACCGTGGTGAGTATGGCACTATACATAAGTTTACAGACGAACCTAAACCGATGTACTTTGTCGGGAATTCAGGATTTACCAATGCTAGGATAAGTGGCTTTGTTAGAACCCACTCCTGATTTAGCTGCCTCCGTTCAAGCCGAAGCGAGTGCAGAGAACTTGTAAGATAGTGGTTGCAAGTTGAGCACAAAACTGGCATTATACTTGAAGGAGTGCAACAATTAGAGGCCTTAACTTACGAAATAGGTCAGTTACATGCTGCTGGTACTCTGGGTCTATCTGGAACGTTTCTTGCACGGAGATTTCGAAATAACGGGCATCTTAGTGGTTGTAATTTTTGTCGAACCGCTGCAGTGTTTATCTGGTGCGTTCCTGCAACACACTTCCGTTGTTTGATTGTGACCATAACTTTCATAATGTGCCACAGAACCAACAGAACGGATCATGTTTTAGCTCTATCCGTGTGAGATATCAAATCATTTCAGTGAGACTGTCTGGTGCTCAATTGGACTTATACCAACGTTGCCAGATCGATCTGTTGAGTCCCAGTTTCGACAGATACGAGCATTGGTATGGCGTGGGCTTTTGATCTATCTTTGACATCTCAACTTTTCGACCATTCATTCTCTTGAATTGCATATTATTGCATATGCGTCTGTGCGTGTGCTACACCACTAATAGACTACTGACATGCTCGACGAATAAAATGCTTGTAGGTGATTTTATTCTTGTTATCCGTCACTTTCATCCCCTCGTCAGGTTACCTCGCTGATGTGACGGGTAGCTACGTGTGGCCGCTGCGATCTTGTTTCCTCATACTTGGAGTCGCTGGGGCGTGCCTCTTGCTGGAGTTTCCCGTTAGATGGTCGTATTCCCGCAGCCTCACTCGGAACACCACTATTGAAGCAACTGCTGTTATCGGCGATCTTGCTGAGACAGTCCCCTGTACTCCATTAGAACCCCTTTCTCCTCTCCGCTGATCAACTCCGAAATCCGAACGGCTCAATATACAACTCCTAACTACCATATCACGTTGGGCATATGGTTAATCAGGGTTGAACTTTTTGCACACCCACTCGGATCTTATAAGTGCACCAGTATCCGGTGACTGTTGTCGCCAACTTGTCCACAAATGCACCACACACCGAACGGATACTGCCTTTACTGCTTACCTCTCTGTCAAATGGTCTTAAGGAAGTGATGTTACCCTGTCGTTCGAAGATCTGTTCATAGCACTTCGCTTCCAGCTGTAATGTTCGGCGTCAGGACTCACTTTTGTTGTACAAACGCTTATTTCTGTAAACCTTGTTTGTTCCCTTCTCTTCTCATGAAAACTAGCTTTATCTCGGTGTATTTAAAATAATTTATTGCGAACTTCATGTTGGTTTGACCCGTCCTTTTTATACAACTACAGCATGTTTCTCCCGCTTTTCTTTCCTTTTTCCGTCAAATTATAGTATTGGCTTTGATCGGTTATTTGATTGTCTTCGCCAATGGTAAGCAACAAATACCTGGGTTTCTACGGGAACGATTTAGATTAAATGACTACTTTTGCCTGCATTTAGCTCTTTTTTCTGAATCCAACTCTGAAATGCACTTGCTATTCATATCGCTGTTATGCCGTTGTCCAGGCTCTAATTCACTGATCTGTCGCGTAAGATAAACTCTTCTATTTTTCTCCACAGTCACACGGTTGTTGTGGCTATACTACTTTATTGTTCTCCTTTTTAGACCCAGATTTATCTAGTGCTAACATGCCAACTAGGAACAAAGGCGTTGACTGTGAACACAAATTTTCCGCGCATTTGACCGTCGCACTGTCAGCGTGATTTCTTGTGCACTGTGTTACGTGCTTTATACAAATCGAACGTAAACGTTTTTTATTCACTTGTCCTACCCCCCCCACACACTGTTTACTTCATTTTTGCTTTTAAACCAATTAATACTTCGACACATTTCGGCTTCACAAGGCTCTTATGTTTGATTCAGGTTCCCCTTGTCAATTAGCTACTATATGCGACTCTATTATCATACCTGATGCGCGGACACTGCGGAATATCCTATCACATCGACAAACACCTGGTCCACTCAGAGTGCAGCTGCGATCTTACACCGAACATATACTGTATGTCTCGCTATCTTTATCACACAGAGCTACTACCCGAATTCCACCAATCACATGTGTGGTCGTGTCTTGGAGTCTGGACCTATAACATCATGTCAACTTGACACTATGAAATCCGCACCATAAATGCGGATTTTGGCGAATCTCACCGCGTCATTCGACTAGACCAAAGGTTACCAAACATATTTCACAGCGGGCCGGATAACGAAAAGACTGACATCGGTCGCGTAATCATTCAACACAGTGCCTGCAAGTCAGAACGAAAAGTCTGGGAAAAGGCAAAGAAAACGCGACGTTTCTTGTCTCACTATTCTTAGTGAATGGTGAAATAATGGGTGCCTGAACAAGAAAGATATTGCACTATAAACATTATCAACACCTTATTAAAGCACCGCAAGAACAGGGGCCTAGAGGTTATTAGCGCAACTACGGCGCACCAATAGTACACATAAAGTTCACAGGTACCTTCGGTAGTAGAACCTATCGCAGCGGAAGAAGATATGCAATATATATATATATATAGTATATATATATATATATAGGTCATCTACTGAGCGTCTGCCGAGATGAATACATCGATATATAACGTCAGTGTAAAATAAAAATCGAGTGTAAGCATGCAGAAATACACGGGATGCAATGATCATTTATTTAAGGCATGAAGAAAGTAAAATATGGTAGCTTACTTACGCGCCTGCGTTCGATTTACCAAATGCGCGCTTGCATGCTAAGTCACTTTATTTCAGGTGGTGGGTTTGCAGGTTTGTCCTAATGCTTTTCTTCCTCAATTAAATGTCTATCAGTACTCTCTTCTATAAACTTGCACACGTCGCTTAAGCCAATTGCAGTTAATTTCGATAACATTTTCGTGCTTGTGGCATTTCCGCAAAATATACTTCCTGACCTCGTGAACTTATCTCGGATTCGTTTGTAAACAACTTATTTCATATGCTTATATTAATCTAAGATTTATGTCACCGTTTGCTTATGTATTACTCGATTTATTTTATTTGTTATCTTTCTCTCAAGAGATTGGCTGTTGCTGGATATCCCCGGTGTGACTGCGCTTTATGTGCATGTTGATAAGGTGCCTAACTGTCTATTACCCACTGCCTCGTCCATACTGGCTCCAGGAGACAGTTGGTCGTTGCTAGAGGGGACGGGGTGCACGGTTCTTGTAGCCGTGTTAGGATCAAAGAGTAGTTCCACGCAATCAGTGTGGAGCGGACTACGGTCCAACCACCGTCTTGTGCGCTTGATTCCCAAATACAGCGTGCTTGTGTTTGCCTGTGAAGGAGTGTGGGCCGGCTCCGTTGATGAAAGTTGGCTCCCATCCACATGCCTCCCGGTTTATATATATAATATATATAATTTATAATATATATTATATAGAATATATATATATTAGATATATGTAGTATATATTATATATATATATATATATATATATATATATTTATATAATATATATATATATATATATATATATATATATATATATATATATATATATATATATATATATATATATAGTGCCCCATGCTGAGGCTGATGTTGCATTCTTGATGCTTCTTCACCGCAGTTGGGCTAAACCAACTTACACTTAAACTAGGTCTTTTTAAGCTGGATAAATTTCATTCCGCTTTATTTGGTTTGTTCTGCCTCCCTGAATAATGTGCTATTAACTGGCCACGTTGCTTACACAAATTGCGCTTATCTTCGGTAATTTTGTTGCGTTTGTAGCATTTTAAGTAACTTGTGGACATTTCTTACTTATCACGGATTTGTTGCTAACCAAATTACTTCATATGGTAATTTAGCGAAGAGTTATGCCACCGTATCTGTATGCATTATTGGATTTATTTTCTTTCAGCTTGTCGTTTAAATTGAACGGCTGTTGTTTGATATCCCTGGTATGGTTGCGCTTGATGTGTAAGTTGACAAGGTGCCTACCTGTCTATTACCCACTACATCGTTCATACTGGCTCCAGGAGACAGTTGGTCGTTGCTGGAGGGGACGGGGTGCACGGTTCTTGTGGCCGTGCTAGGCTCAAAGAGCGGTTCCATGCACTCAGTGTGGAGCGGACTACGGTCCAGCCACCGCCTTGTGTGCGCTTGATTCCCCAAATACAGCGTGCTTGTGTTTGGCTGTGAAGGAGTGTGGGCCGGCTCCGTTGATGGAACGTGGTTCCCATCCGCATGCCTCCCGGTCTTATTCCTTCGGGTTTACACTGGATATGGGGTATTTGGTTGGAGCTGTGGGTGGTGCAGCGCAAGCCATCCATGGTCCCTCTGTAGGCGCAGGCGTCCTGTGGCTTGCCACAGTGACAGGCAAATCCGAAACCGGATGCCTCCAACCATATATATATATATATATATATATATATATATATATATATATATATATATATATATATATATATATATATATATATATATATATATATATATATATATACTTTGACTTCATTGTGTTCACCCCAACCATCCTACGGGTCTTATCAAACGTTTGCATTTATCCAGTCATAACTCCTTGTTCATTGCACATTATAAAAGGCTACAAACATCTAACAACACTGTTATGCAGCGGATGTGACTCGCCACCAACTGAGGTCACTATCCCTTAAGTCGGTAGGAATTTGTTCTAGCAGCTTGCTACTTAAATTTGGGTAGGATCGGGTATCCGACCAAATCGAACAAAGAACGGAGAAACTTTCCTGCATGTACCCCAATGCACAAGATCTCCTGAATAAGCTTGCCGAACTGCGGCTACGTCATGCGTCACATGCTTGGGACCTCATTTTCGTCACGAAAACTTGGTTGCATTCAGCAATTGCCAACGCCGAAATCGCGATAAATTATATGTCCCTTCTCCGAAATGACCGCCCAAGCTGACCATAGACTCACTCTGGTACAGTTTGCGACCGAGACCCAACGTCACTTGCCTTTTGGTCGTCCTTTATCTTCCCCCAATGTCCACACCTGACATTATCCTGGAGAAGGGTACTACGAGGACGCTACAGTCATGTTCTCATCTCAGGCGACCTCAATATGCATGATTTAGAACTTCTGGCATCCCCCAACGAGCAGTTTAAGACCGATCTGCTACGGTATATTGCAAGCATTCCGCTCTTCAGCCATGTCAGTTCGCCCACCTGATTCAGGGCCTGAAATAAACTATCTGTGCTTGATCTAATGCTCAAGAACGAAGAGCTCGTGGTTGAGAAACTAAAGCTGGCGAATCTTCTGGGGCGGTGCGACCACGTAACCATAATTTACGAATTCGTGTATTATGCGGAGTATCCACAAGAAGATAGTAACTTGTTTCGAAAAATCGCCAACTACGACATACTGGCAGAACTTGTGGAATATGCCAGCTGGAAGTTTCCGGATGACTGTTCCATTGACAGCTCTTGGATGGAGTTTGCTGGCAAGTTCAGGGATCTGATGAAATCCGCATCTGTCAACATGCCCCTTTGTTTTGCAAGGGCACTATCATTCATTAGGGGAATAACCCGAAAACGCATGACAATAAGAGACGTTGCGTGGTATGGGTATAGAGCGAACCCTAGCCTTGACAACTGGAGTAACTATGTTCTGCATCGTAATCACCATACTACGTTTGTGCCTGAGGACAAATTATTACGGTGGCAGAGTCTAGCTGAAAAGTTTCGTGCTAACAAAAAGCTTCTATACAGACGCGTGAACAGCCTCCGGAATGTGAAACGGGGTGCTTCTTCACTAATATCGGCAGATGAATGTGCTCAAACCGCCGAGGATGCAGCCAACGTTCTTCGGCTACAATATGCCCCAATTTTTTGACGTACTCCCACCATTTGTAACATACCGGTCCCATTCTCCCAGACGCCAGCATGTGCACGTCACCATTAGTTCGCCGACCATTTTAAGGAAGCTGTTGTCATTGCGCACCCATAGTTCCCCCGGAGTTGCCAACATGCCCCCGAAAGCACAGCAGGTGGCAGCTAAGAGGATAAATGAACCATTAAGGAAATTTTTCCAAAGTTGCGTGGACCAACAGCAGGTCACTAGCATGTGGAAGCAAGGTGTCATTATCTCGATTTTCAAAAGTGGTAGTCGTTCACAGTCCACCAACTATCGCCCAGGGATTCTCCTCCCGATGCTCTCAAAGGTGATGGAATTGATCATAACTGAGGCTGTAATGGGCTGCTTCGAAAGGTATGACATCATAGCACCGGAGCAACACGGATTCCGTCAGCACAGGTCATGTACTACCAACCTCCTGCTTTCCCGTTGCAGTTGGACTGAGAAAGACGAGAGTGGGGGCGGCAATGATGTCATCTACCTAGACTTTTCTAAAGCCTTCGATCGCATGGATCATATCGTCCTTCTCCAAAATGTGCAACCATACGGAGTTGGAAACCCTGTCCTTGAATGGATCAGAAACTTCCTCCTTCACTGGCGCCTTCAGGTTTGAGTTCGGGGCTCATTTTCCGATCCATTTGTGTGAACTGCTTTGTTCCACAAGGGTCGATGTTAGGACCGCGGTTATTCTTGTTCTTCATTA